TTCTGATTCTAACAACTTATTTTAACTCAAAAAAGGCTGATTCTGAGAAGCTGCTCACCCCTTGCTTCTGATTATCAGCTTCTGCTGTGGACATGTTAATTTATGGTTATACTCTTAAATTTTTTTATTTTTTATTTTTTTAAAAATAGAAAAAGACTCAAATGGACTATAGATTATTATTATTATTTTTTATGAGAAATGTAGACAAACAAAAAATAAAAATTAATTGAAAAAGCTATTTCATAGCTTATTTAACAAACACTACTCAGTAACTTAAATCTATAATCCAACAGCTACACCAAACAGATTAACAACTTCTGATTAAAGTCATAATTTATAATCTGTTAATCTATAATCTATAAGCTGTTTTAACAGCTACACCAAACAAGGCCATTCTGACTAAGCCTTTGAAGCCTGCTGTGTTTATGAAGTTTCAAAGTCATGGCGGAGTCAAGAAATTAAATCATGAGGGGCACTTATTAATTATAGCTTTATTTTATTTTTTTTCATAACCAACAATAAGAAGATAATAATAATTTTTGAATTAATAATAAGTACAACAAATTAAATAAATTGTTACAAAAGTATTTCACATAAAATTTTACAAATAATTTCGAGTAAAATCGAAAAGAAAGTATTGTGTGTAACTAGTGTATCATGGATAATGTAAAAAAGTGATATATTTAAGTCGTAAAACAAATTATATAATGGTAAGATAAATCAAATTTTTACAAAATTTGAGTAAAAATTTCATGTAATAGTGATATCACGTCATTATTGACATATGATATCAACATTTGATATCACCAACCAATAGTAAAGCAACATATGAAAGGTGAACTCCACATGCAAATATGACTAACACTTTAGTAATTTTTACATATATATAGTGAGATTAATTATATTTGCATATCAATAATGATGGATATTACCTTTATATTTAGATTTCTTCACAAAATTTTTATGCATAAAAATATAATTTGTTGTGATCACTTCATTTTCAATAAAACAATCACTATCGTTTTCATAAATTTAAAAATGTCCTTGACATTTTATTTTAAATATTATTTTTGTTTAAAATTTTATTTATATACATATATAAAAAAAAAAAAATTGAAAAATCTAAGGGGGGCACATGACCTTCCTAGCCCGCATGTGGCTCTGCCACTGCTTCCAAGCCTACTTGGAGTATGTCAAGGAAGGATGCTGGTTCTGATGAACAAGAGATGGGTTGCTGAAGTTTTTTCTTTGTAAACTGATGTCTTGTTTAAGGAAGGGTGTTAAAAGTTTATTTTTTAGCAAGTGTTGATTGACCTATTATTTAGGAAGTCTATTGACATGGGTTAGTCTTTGCTACTTCTTTAGGAGTACTCTAATAGTGGAGAAGTGTTGAGTCACGGAACTAGTTGGTTTCTATTTTCTTGATTAGTTTGTCAGATATTTTTCTATTTAAATTGTAATTAGTTCTTTAAATTTAATTGAAGTATTCTTGTTCTAAAAATATTCTCAGTGCTGTGAGTTTCTTTTTGTTCACAACAATTAATTATCTAAACAAATAATGATAATTATCATTCTCTAATTTTCTTTATTTTTCTCACCAAAATCTTTCATTCAAATAGAGTGTTAAAAAGAACAACTTTAAAGGACATGAACTTAGAGACAAATTAGTACATAGTAATTCTTCTAACGAGAGAGAGACCAATAATTTTGGAGTGAATGGATGAGCCCAAAAATTAAAGAATTTGAAAGGCATATTCACCGTTTCTTGTTTTGGGCCTAACCATAACAATCCCAACACTTTCATTTGAAACACCTAGAGCAAAAAGAGCCTTATAGACTATGTACAGATGCCCTAAGTAATAAACTCTGAAACAACTGAAAAAGAACCTTTTACTGAATTGAACCACTTTTATTAAGGGCAAGATTGGTAATAGATTATTTTAGTTAAAAAGTTGAAAAGATATTATCAAAAAATTAACTCTTTTCTAAATTTTTTTACATATTTTTTTGTTAAAAAATAAAAAAACTAACCAAAATAATTAATTTCCAAAACAATCTAAAGTAATGGAGATACAATGAACATCACATAAACAATTTCATGTGATATTATGAGATTACATAATAATTTTAAAAAATAATATATATAATTTTTTAAAAGATTTTTGTTATGTTATTTTACAAATTAATGTCTCATGTAATAGTAAAATTTTAGAATTTGAATGGAGTCCACTAGGCTTAAATGATAGAAATAATTTACTGTCACATCAGTTTCTAAAGTAAGGTCTCGTTTGTTTGGGATTATAGAGAGGGGATTGGGTTTGGTAGTGAGGAGGGGATTGGGAATGTGGTGTTTGTTTTGAGAGATAGGGAGGGGATTAGTAATCCCTTGGTGGTATTAGTAAGGAGGAGGAATCGGTAAGGAGGAGGTAGAAATAGTATTAGAAAAATAGTGAGGGGATTAGAATTTTTTTTATTTTTTTATTTTTTATATATTGAGAATTTTTTTTAAATATAATGTTTAATTTTTTATATTTTTTTATTTGTTTTATTATTTTATATAAAAATAATTTAACAATTCCTACACTAACAACTATCATCAAAACAAACATAATTTTACTTAATCTCATCACAATACCCAATTAGGGCAGCCAAATTTCTATGATGGACAGTTGTTAAGAGCTCAGCCTGCAATCCAAAAATGAATACCAACTGGTGTGACAATTGAAAGTAATTTTTAGAATGTGTATGAAAGAAAGGGTACTAAAATATTGAAGTGTCAAGAAGTTTGCCTCAGCCCAGAACTGCTCTGATCCCTAACTTGATGATTGAGAGAGCATTTTGACACAACTTCAGTGCCATCTTTCAAGTAGCCAAGATAAACTGTTCTGAATCCTTCTTTCCCGATTACCCTTTCTAAATTATTTGTAATACTCACAACCTCAGAGTATGAGAATCTTCAATTTTTCAACTTCAATGTCCTACCTCCCACATTGCCTTTTAGGAGTAGTTCATGGGCAAAGATGAAATTATACAAGTAAGACTTTAGATGATTGAGAAAATAATTTCTTGAATGTAAACCAAATACCAGAATGAAAAAAATATGAGAAAAAATATTACCTTTATGGTGTGTTTGGTTGAGGGATTTGGGAAGGGATTTGAAAAGAGAAATGGAAAAGGTAGGTGAAATGTGAATGAAATATGTATATATTTCACATAGTTTCACACACCTTTTCCATTTCTCTTTCCAAATCTCTCCCCAAATCTCCCAGCCAAACACAGTATTAATATTTTAATTGATTATCACAATCACTAAACTTAAAATTGAATCTATTTTTTTGTTATTGAAAAAGAATAGTGAGGTTCATATATTGAATGCCGACATCTGTTTGAGCTTGATCAAGGACTACTCATTGAAGCACAACACCAGATCTTCTTTGGGCCACGCATGCTAGAATAGAAGCATACCAAAGTTAGGAGTCACCCAAAAAAAAAAAACTATACACGTGTATATATGTTATGAAAAGTGTTATCTCACATTTTATTCTCAAAATGAGGTGGATGATATAGATTTAAAATTTGTGAAATATGGATTATATTTAGAATGATTGTAGTTCATAAATTAAATTTTCTAAGTAATTTTTTATATATTTTTTATGAATTCTTTAATAGATTATACTAGCATAGACTCAAATGTGACGCATTTATAACTGTACATCTGAACTTTTGAATGTTTGATAAATGAAAAAAGATGAGTTTAATTTACAAATCATTTAATAGTTAGTAAATATAATTTTAGCAAGTTAACAATTTGTGGGCATTATTAAAAGATAATATAGTGTGACTAATCCTCGGGTGTTTTTTTTTTTTCTTCGTTCGTTAAAATTTATACTAAATTAATCTAAGAAGAAAGGGGAAGGGAATCAACCCAACACCCCCCACAATGTGACACAAGGTAATGATTTTCTCAGATTGAGTTGTGTGTTTTATTTTCTCAAACCTAAGACTGAAGAAGAACATTTCAAGTTTCAACTACCACTCCTTATCTGGTTTTTTAGGGTGGCAACAACCCCCCATGTGTCTTTGACCCATTGCAATGACAATTTTGGCTGGTGTTTACAACTAAGAAGCAATCAATCCTTTAGGATTGGTGTTAGGTAATAAACAGTGAAATGACCCAACAACATTTTGGCAGTTTTATCAACTCTTCTTGGTCTAATATTTCTCCAATTCAAACTCCTCTCTCACTCTCCCACCAACCCATCCCAAAGAATGGTAGTTACATTTTAGTCTCCAACACATGCATATATATTCTCCTCACACATTACTTACTAGTCATAGTTTTATTTTAAAAAAATTTATTTTAGGTTTTGTTTTTCATCACTACAAGTGCTAAAAAGTGAGTCGAGTTGAGTGACACTAGCAGCGCGTTTGATCATATTGACAAAAAAAATGGGGAGTAGTGAAGAAGAATATCGGACGCTGCTAGTAGGACTTGACTCGCATGCTCGGATTCCAGACTTGTCATCGAATGCGGTGGAAGAGTTTTTACTGACAAATAAACCGGTGGCGATCCGGTGGTACCCACGGCTCATGTGTTGGGAATCGAGGATGCTATGGCTGCTTTCGGGTTCATCCATCATCGTGTCGATTTTCAATTACATGCTCAGTTTTGTCTCTCTGATGTTTACCGGTCATCTTGGTGCTTTAGAACTCGCGGGAGCTTCCATTGCCAGTGTTGGAATTCAAGGTCTTGCTTATGGAATCATGGTATAGATATACATGTCTCTGTTTTTTTTACTCTGTTTTACAATAATTCATCAATTCACTGTTGTTGACCGCTTGTTTTCTATGTATGTTTGTCTGTTATGGCACCGTTTGGGAAGCAAGATTTGAGGCTTTTTGAGTTATTTTAGCTACAAAAAAATAAAATAGGCTATTTTAGTCACAACAAATAAAACATCACATCCAACCCATAATCATTACACTCTTCCCTCACAAAAAAAGTCAAAAAAGCCAAAAAGTTCTTCCCAAATCAAGTTTTTTAGCCCAGGCTAAAATAGCCAAAAAATCCAAAAAGCCAAAAAGCCAACCTACTTCCCAAACCAAGCCTATGTGTTTGTCTCACTTTTACAAAACCATAGCGTAAGCCACTACACAAATGATTGGTTTCTGTAATTTATCTCCTGTCAATTTGATTCCTGTATTTTTAAGGATTCATTTGGAAAAATGCTCTTTTAGTCAATAAGTCACTTGAAAAAAAGAAAAAATTATAAATAGTATCTACTATAAAATTATACAAGTGTCCACCTTAAATCATTTAAATACGTTTAGGATTTTAAAATTTGAAAAGAGTAACTGACTGCAATTTAATTTACTCCCTGGACTATTAACTTTTTCAAAATTGCCATCTTATTTTTAGAAAAACATACTCTGTCATTTGGCATATACATGTGTTTGATTGTTCTGTCAAACTGATTTGGAATATACTTGAATTTTAATGTTTGCTGAGAAAAAAAAAAATTAGTTCCTAGAATTGTTGATTCGTTTGGCAAAAGCCAAAAAACTAAAAGCCAATTCCCAAACGGGAGTATGCAGTTAAAGTTTTTGTGCTAATCTCATTGTTGTTGATTATAAAAAATAAAATCAAGATCATGACAAATACGCATCCCTTATGTGAAATTTCTCACTTCGCCACTGAATGCTATCCTTAATTTCTTCTCAAACCAACAAAATGCAGTTGGGCATGGCAAGCGCAGTCCAAACTGTTTGCGGTCAAGCCTATGGAGCAAAAAAATACGGAGCAATGGGTATAATATTACAAAGAGCGGTGATCCTCCATGTTGGAGCGGCCATCCTCCTGACATTCCTATATTGGTTCTCGGGCCCTATCCTGAAAGCAATAGGCCAAACGTATAGCATAGCCGAAGAGGGTCAAATTTTTGCACGCGGATTGATACCCCAACTTTATGCATTCGCGATAAGTTGCCCAATGCAAAGGTTCCTTCAAGCACAAAACATTGTGAACCCTTTGGCATATATAGCAGTTGGGGTATTTTTGTTGCACATTTTGCTGAGTTGGCTAGTGGTGTATGTGTTGGACTATGGGTTGATTGGGGCTGCACTTACTCTGAGTCTTTCATGGTGGTTTTTGGTGATAATACAAGGGCTTTACATTCTATTCAGCCCACGTTGTAAGGAAACTTGGACTGGTTTCTCTATGAAAGCTTTTAGAGGGATTTGGCCTTATTTCAAGCTCACTGTTGCTTCTGCTATTATGTTGTGGTATGTATTTGCACTGCGCTCTCTCTCTCTCTCTCTCTCAGTAGCTTTGTTTGGTTCTTGAAAAAAAATTAATTTTTGACTATTTAAACAATAAAAAAAAAATAGTTTGGTTTCTGCTGATTTAGGTCAGGGCCGGCCCTGCCTTAAGGCAGGTAAGGCTTGTGCTTTAGGCCCCATATTTTGGCTCAAAAATAGGGTCCCAAAATTTAAAAAATTGTTATAGGTTCAATCTTTTTTTTTTTTTTTGGTTTTAAGATCAATTTAAAGGGCCCCAAATGTTTTATTGGGCCCATGTATAATTTAGCCCATATTTATTTATAAATGTGTTTGGCCCATATTTATTAAAATGAAAATATGGTTCTTGAAAAAAAATTAATTTTTGACTATTTAAACAATAAAAAAAAAATAGTTTGGTTTCTGCTGATTTAGGTGACAAAACGGAGAAAAGTCACTTTTTAAAACATAATCCACTATGTATGGCAAGTAATAAATAAATAAAAAAAAGGTCACATTTCTTCAAACTTTTTTGGATTTAATGAATTTTTTTTAGTTTTCTAGTCGTAGTCTAAAAGGGTTTAAAAGGTTTTGAAAAAATGAAAAAGAATAAAAAAAGTTCACTAAAGTTTAAAAAATTCCAAATCCCACATGAATTTTTTCTAGTAACCCCCCCCCAAAAAAAAACGGTGCTTTTTTTAAAATTTTTTTTTTTTATACCAAAAAATAAATTTTTTTTTTGCCAAAAGCATAAGTGTTTTTAGCAATTAACTTTAACTTTAAAAAGTAAAAGAGTAAAAAAACTACTAAAACAATATTTGACAAACTATGAATTTAATTTGTATTCTTTCTTGATTTTAACAGCTCATATCAATCTTCTATATAATGTGTAGTTTGGAGATATGGTACTTCCAAGGACTTGTGCTTATATCAGGCTTGCTTCCCAACCCTACAATCTCACTAGACTCTATCTCCATTTGGTATGTCACCATCTTCTCTGTTTCATTTTTCACTTCCAAGAATGTCTTTTTATTTTTATTTTATATATATGTGCTTATATCTTTTGATTGTGATGAAATTTCAGTATGAATTACTTGAACTGGGACATGCAGTTTATGTTGGGTCTTGCTGCAGGAGCCAGGTATGTCACAATTAATTAAAGAAGGGTAGATTAGTAATTCAATTGTTTGAGTGACATTACACTTGATCCATATAGTTCTAGTTTCAACATATAAGACTTCAGAGTTTAAGTGAGTATCAATGTGGTATTTTTTTTTCTAGATTTGTTAACTACGTGTCCGTTAAGTAAACTTTTTAGTAGGAAAAACCCAACAAAGTAGTCTAGTGACTGAGAGAGTTTGAAGACGATGGCGGAGATAGAGAGGGGTGGACCAAATTTTACAAAATCTTGATTAACCCCATGCAATTTTAAGCATTTAGTGTTTTGGCTCTTTCAAACTCTATATAATTTTATTTTGACTCTCTCAAACTTGAAAAAAACCTCAGCTTCCGTTTGGGAAGTGGGTTGGCTTTTTGACTTTTTTAGCTATTTTAGCCTGGGCTAAAAAGTTTGGTTTGGGAAGAACTTTTTGACTTTTTGGTTTTTTGATTTTTCTTGTGAGAGAAGAGTGTAATGATTATGAGTTGGATGTGATGTTTTATTTTTTGTGGTTAAAATAGCCTATTTTGTCTTTCGTGGTTAAAATAGCCACTTTAGCCCTTCCCAAACAATGCCGAGCCTATGAAGGTTTGAGTATTTATAAATTAAATTAGCATTTTGACCCTTTAAAGATCTAATTTTAGTTTGACACCTAAAAAATCTAATAATTTTATTTTAACCCTTTCTTTATACAAAAGTTTTGGGTCTGCCATTGATTGAGGAATGAAAGAAGCTCTTGTGAATGTGAATAAACAATAATCTAACTGCATTATAAGAACTAAAGCAACTAATTAAAGAGGATTTTTGTATATACCAGTGAAGAAAAAAAATTGTAAAATTAAATTTATTGCAAGTTTGGTCACTTAGACTTTACTTTCTTTTTAAAATTTGATTTTAATGCAAATTGCAGTGTTCGTAAAAGGGTTCCATTTTCGAAATTCGCCTTAGGCCCCGACGAACTCAGGGCCGGCCCTGATTTAGGTGACAAAACGGAGAAAAGTCACTTTTTAAAACATAATCCACTATGTATGGCAAGTAATAAATAAATAAAAAAAGGTCACATTTCTTCAAACTTTTTTGGATTTAATGAATTTTTTTTAGTTTTCTAGTCCTAGTCTAAAAGGGTTTAAAAGGTTTTGAAAAAATGAAAAAGAATAAAAAAAGTTCACTAAAGTTAAAAAAATTCCAAATCCCACATGAATTTTTTCTAGTAACCCCCCCCCAAAAAAAACAAAAAAAAAACGGTGCTTTTTTTTTTAAAAACTTTTTTTTTATACCAAAAAATAATATATTTTTTTTGCCAAAAGCATAAGTGTTTTTAGCAATTAACTTTAACTTTAAAAAGTAAAAGAGTAAAACAACTACTAAAACAATATTTGACAGACTATGAATTTAATTTGTATTCTTTCTTGATTTTAACAGCTCTTATCAATCTTCTATATAATGTGTAGTTTGGAGATATGGTACTTCCAAGGACTTGTGCTTATATCAGGCTTGCTTCCCAACCCTACAATCTCACTAGACTCTATCTCCATTTGGTATGTCACCATCTTCTCTGTTTCATTTTTCACTTCCAAGAATGTCTTTTTATTTTTATTTTTATTGTATATATATGTGCTTATATCTTTTGATTGTGATGAAATTTCAGTATGAATTACTTGAACTGGGACATGCAGTTTATGTTGGGCCTTGCTGCAGGAGCCAGGTATGTCACAATTAATTAAAGAAGGGTAGATTAGTAATTCAATTGTTTGAGTGACATTACACTTGATCCATATAGTTCTAGTTTCAACATATAAGACTTCAGAGTTTAAGTGAGTATCAATGTGGTATTTTTTTTTCTAGATTTGTTAACTACGTGTCCGTTAAGTAAACTTTTTTGTAGGAAAAACCCAACAAAGTAGTCTAGTGACTGAGAGAGTTTGAAGACGATGGCGGAGATAGAGAGGGGTGGACAAAATTTTACAAAATCTTGGTTAACCCCATGCAATTTTAAGCATTTATGCTGTGTTTGGTTGGGGGATTTGGGGAGGGATTTGGAAAGGAAAAGGGAAAAGGTGTGTGAAACTATGTGAAATGTAGGTATATTTTTTTCACATTTCACCTACCTTTTCCATTTCCCTTTCCAAATCCCTCCTCAAATCCCTCAATCAAACACAGTATTAGTGTTTTGGCTCTTTCAAACTCCATATAATTTTATTTTGACTCTCTCAAACTTGAAAAAAGCCTCAGCCTCCGTTTGGGAAGTGGGTTGGCTTTTTGACTTTTTTAGCTATTTTAGCCTGGGCTAAAAAGTTTGGTTTGGGAACAACTTTTTGACTTTTTGGCTTTTTTGACTTTTCTTGTGAGAGAAGAGTGTAATGATTATGAGTTGGATGTGATGTTTTGTTTTTTGTGGTTAAAACCTTCCCAAACAATGCCGAGCGTATGAAAGTTTGAGAATTTATAAATTAAATTAGCATTTTGACCCTCTAAAGATCTAATTTTAGTTTGACACCTAAAAAATCTAATAATTTTATTTTAACCCTTTCTTTATACAGAAGTTTTGGGTCTGCCATTGATTGAGGAATGAAAGAAGCTCTTGTGAATGTGAATAAACAATAATCTGACTGCATTATAAGAACTAAAGCAACTAATTAAAGAGGATTTTTGTATATACCAGTGAAGAAAAAAAATTGTAAAATTAAATTTATTGCAAGTTTGGTCACTTAGACTTTACTTTCTTTTTAAAATTTGATTTTAATGCAAATTGCAGTGTTCGAGTCAGCAATGAACTTGGGGGAGAGCATCCGTTGGTTGCAAAGCTTTCCGTGTTCGTAGTGAGCGGAACCAGTATCCTCATCAGTATAATTTTCACTGCCATTGTTCTGATATTTAAGGTTGAATTGAGCAAACTCTTCACAAGCGACTCTGAAGTTATTGAGGCCGTGTCCAATTTGACCCCATTGCTTGCCATCTCTGTTTTCCTCAATGGCATTCAACCCATACTTTCAGGTAATTCAAAGCCTAGCCTATATACTAGTTTAGTTTTAGTTTAAAATGTAAGAAAAAATGGTAGAATGAAATCAACTGCATAAGATTGATCGAAATTTTAGTTTTCGATCGATATTTTGATAAAAAAATATTTTCCCCTCAATATTGACCAAACTGAATCACTTATACCCCTACTCTTACACTATCTATTCTATTATATAAAATACATAATTTGCTTGGTAAAGCTATGTCACACTTTTTTTCATATCCAAACTACCCTTATATAATTGCATTGATTTCAAATTTTAATTTATTCCGTTAGTTACTTTTTTTTTCTCCTTCTTCTAGTTCTGCAATTATGATTTTGTGGTGTAAAAATTGTACTTGTTTCCTTTGTGAATATTTACAGGGGTGGCCATTGGGAGTGGATGGCAAGGTGTAGTGGCATATGTTAATCTTGCCACTTACTATATTATTGGTCTCCCAATTGGATGTGTTCTTGGCTTCAAAACTAGCTTAGCTGCAGCTGTAAGTAACCCTCTCTCTCTCTCTCTCTCTCTCTCTCTCTCATTTAATTAAATGATAATATTGACTTGGCTTGGTACAGGGGATCTGGTGGGGGATGATAATTGGAGTTCTCTTGCAGACAATAGCTCTCTTGATTATAACAGCCAGAACTAATTGGGATGCTGAGGTAAAATAATCTTGTCTTCAGTTTAACTTATGTAAATCATCTTATCAATGCTTCGAAGAATTAACATTGGGTTGCATTGTGCTTGTTGGGCCCATTTTTAACTATTTAAGATAATTAGGATTAAATATGATATCAGAACTCAGCTCCAGGGGTCTTGGATTCCAATTTATTTGTTTGAATTTGTTTCTCATTTGCATATCTATATGCAAGACTTGGTTGAACGCGAGGGTGGGCATGTTAGTACCTCTATATATATAAATTATATCATGTTTATCCTTTATGAAATTACAATAATATTCCTTCTTAAAATGGTAATAGTCTCTCTATTATAAATTTTTCTTCTAATCACAAGGAACCTACTAAAATAGGTCCTTTTATTAGACCCCTCCAAAAAGAGTGTACCATATACAAATTACGATTTTATGGTATTGATATTATAAATTTTCATAACCAAATTATTTCCATTCATAACTAAAATAATCACTATATAAATTATAACCAAGAAACACATCTTCAATTATAACCAAAAAAAAAAGTGCAATAAGTCATAACTAATAAAAAAAACACCCACACACACACATACAATAGGTCATAACTAATATTAGAATGAGTCATAACTAACCATTACTTGATGTATAACCAAAGATCTCTTCAGTCATAACTAAAATAATAACCACAAGAAGTTATAATTAAGTTATATCCAACACTACAATGTGTTATAATTAAAGATTAGATCATAACTGCGGCATATGATAGATACTTTTTTCGTGATGTGTTTTATAAAATTTCTCTACTAAAATATATCATTTGTATCTCAACTTATCTTCTTCTTCTTCTTTCTTTTTTTTTCTTTTTTTTTTTTAAATTTTTTTTCCAATCCACCTAAAATAGTTACTCCCTAATATTTGTATAAAATTTAACCTCAAATCCTTTAATTTAAAATTCACATTTCTTAATATTTAAGTTTAGTAATATCTCATTGTAGTTTATTATGAGAAAAGAACAAAATCAATGTTGTCATTAATTTGTGTCGCTTCTTTACTGAATTCCTGATTCTGCCACTAAGGTGTGTATTTATGTAATAAATTTCATATGTATATATAGGGTCTGACATGTTTAAAAAATATTAAAATCCATCATATTACATGAAAAAATAAGGTGATAATTTAGTAGTCCTGAAGTATGAACACGTGGTACTGCATGGTATTGTGATTGGTGAAGAAGGTGGATTGGTGGGATATTGTGTTGGGTGATTGAGGAACGTGAGGGGACATGATAAATGATGGTTGGTTAGAGAGTACGGTTACGTGATACTCCGAGAATATTTTACAATTTTCCGAAAAGGATACAAAAAATTTTATTAAAATATTTTAGTGATGTATTGTTAGACCCATTTCTTTAACAGCCATTAATTCCTTATGCGAATTTCATGCAGGTTGTAAAAGCTGCAGACCGGTTGAAGCATTCTGCAAACGAAGAAGCTTTACTCCTTGTGGACAACATATGACTCACAAATTTTGGTGTTACATAGGCAGTTAGTCTTTGTTTCAACCTCCAGAGTGAAACTGCTAGTGACCAAACCATACAGTTCAACCTATGTTGTTGTTCTTATTTATGTTTCTCTCTTTCCCATTCACTCTCTCTCTCTCACTCTGTGTGTGTGTTTTTTCTTTCTTTCTTTCTTTTTCCTCTCTTCTTTTTTGTTTTTTCGCACAACTAAATGGAATGAGGCTTTTTGTTGACAAGTGATAGTTATTTGTTGGTCCCGCTCGTGGAAATGCAGTTTTGGCAAAAACAAAAACAAAATACTTTGGCTTTAGAGTACGTTTGATACAATAGAATGGGTTAGAATGGAATATCCAATTTAGGCCAAGTTTGGCTAACCTAAAAAAGTGCACTTATTTCATCTTTTTATCTTTTTTGAGTCACATCAATCAACATCTCTTCTCTACTTTTTCTACACATAATACAAAAAAAGTCAAAAAGTATACTTATTTAGTCTTCCCAAACTTGGCCTTAGTCTTGCATTTCTTTTCCCTAATTTGATATGTTTTATCTAAGTGAGAATAATCATTCTATTAGAATATCTATTATAACAAAATGTGTAGAAATGCCTATTCCTTCCTCCAATTTAAGGAATGGTCATTCCATTCTATCATGGAAAAAAATTTATTATTTTTTTGTTGGTACTTAAAAAAATATTATTATTTAACCACTACTACTATTCCGTTTTCCTACCACCCACTCCACCACCCTACCACCATCGCCACCACTACCTTATTGCCACCACTACCCCAATCACCACCACCACTACCACTACATCCACAAAACTGCCATTATCATCATCACTAGAATCACTACCCTACTACCGTCGCTCCCACTACCATCACTGCCATTGCCACCACAGCCACTAACTTATCACCACTGCTACCACTTTCATAAACATCACACCACTACCATCATCATCGCAAGAACCATTACTCTACTACTTTTGGTTGCTATAACTACCGCCGCCGCCACCATCACCACCACACCACCATACCACCATTGCAACCACAACACCACCTTGCCACCACTACTAAGGCCACAACAACCTATTACCACCATCCTACTATCATTGCTATCACCACCACCGATGCTGCCACTTTCGCTGCCGCTGCCACCAACACCACCACCACACCACCATTGCAACTATAACACCACCTTGCCACCACTACTAAGGCCACAACAACTTATTACCACTATCCTACTATCATTGTCATCACCCCCACCGATGCCGCCAATTTTGCTGCCGCCGCCACCACCACCACCACTACTACTACTATGACTTACACCATCACTTCTACAACTATCAACATTATCATGATCTATATAAAATTTTAATTTATTTATTACTAACTTGTTAAAAAAATAATAAAAATAAAAATTTATTCCATTCCATGAGTTTAATATGTATATCCAAACATAAGAATGAGAATTGTCATCCTATTGTCATTTCATATTGGCAACCAAATAATAGAATGGGAATGAACACTCCATTCTATTCAACCTTATATTCCATTCTCATTCTTATTTTATTCCCATTTCATTTGATTCCATCGTTTTAAACATGACAGCAATCCTAAAGGAAATCCATTACCACACATTTACATAACATCAAAATTTACAGCATGTAGCAGGACACCTTGGTCATGTTCATGGTCTCACCATATTGAAAGCAATCAATCCATCTTATAATTATTTCAAATGAAACTGTCCAATAATTATGTAATATTTCACATTTAGAATAAAAAAAAGTTACTAAAACTAATGAAAATGATTTCAATACACTACAAGAAAAGTAGGCTTATGAGACGGAACTTTTTGCGACGGCACAACTTGCCGTCTCAAAAAATGTGACTTTTTGAGACGGCACAACTTGCCGTCGCAAAAAATATGACTTTTGGAGACGACATAACTTGCCGTCGCCAAAAAATGTGACTTTTTTAGACGGCACAACTTGTCGTCGCAAAAAATGTGACTTTTGGAGACGGCACAACTTCCCGTCTAAAAAAATGTGACTTTTTGAGACGGCACAACTTGCTGTCGCAAAAAATAGAGTATTTGCGACGGCAGAAATTGCTGTCGCAAAAAAAAAAAGAGTATTTGCGACGGTACAATAAAAAAAAAAGAGTATTTGCGACGGTACACAGAGACAAGAGAGACAAAAAAAAAAATAAATAAAAACGACGTCGTCGTACTCTTTTGAACATTTCTCTTTTTACCCATTTTTTCATCTTTCTATCTCTCTATCTCTGTCTCTCTTCTCTTTCTCTCTCTCACTCATAACTCTTCTCTGTCTGTCTGTCCGTCTCTTTCTCTATGTGTCTCTGTCTCTCTTGTCTCTCTCTCTCTCACTTACCACTCTTCTTTGTCTATTTGTCTCTTTCTTTCTCTCTATGTCTCTGTCTCTCTTCTCTTTCTCTCTCTTACTTTTCACTCATCACTTTTCTTTGTCTGTCTGTCTCTCTTTTTCTCTCTGTGTCTCTCGTCTATCTTTCTTCTCTTTATCTCTCTTCTCTTTATCTCTCTCGCTCTTTCACTCATCTCTCTCCATCTCTCTCTTGTTTATCTCTTTTCGCTCTCTCTCTCTCTCTCTTCATCCATTTTTTCATCTTCCTTTCTTTCTTTCACTCATCACTCTTCTCTCTCTGTCTGTCTGTCTATCTGTCTCTCTCTCTCTCTCTGTGTCTCTCACTTATCTATTTCTTCTCTCATTTCTTTTCTCATCTCTTTTCTCTCTTTGTCTCTTTCGCTCATCTCTCTTCTCTTTGTCTCTTTCGCTCATCTCTCTTCTCTTTATCTCTCTCGCTCATCTCTCATCTCTCTATCTCTCTCGCACTTTTAGCAACCACTTTGTCTCTTTCTCGCTCATCACTTTGTCTCTCTCTCTCTCTCTCTGCTCTATCTGTCTCTTACTCATATCTCTCTCTCACCACCCATCTCCTCTACCACCTTCACCACTACTACAAACGCCATTCCACCACCACTACTACTTCCACTGTCGCCACTTCACCTCTACGACTACTATTGCTACTACCATCACCACCACTCCACTACCACCACTACCACTACTGCCACTACTACTATCATTACCTCTCTTTCACCCCTGCCACTCCATTTACACTATCACTATCACTATCACAACTTCACCACTAATCTCTTTCGCCATCACCATCACTATCACCCCCACCATCATCTCTTATCCACAACCTTTACCACTACTACCGTTCCATTTCCTTTACCACAAAAAATTAGTTCATGATTTTTAGTAACAAAAAAAAAATAGGCCACAAAAAAATGTTTTTCATTGACTATAAAAAATTAACTTTTATTTTAGTGGAAAATATTTTTCATTAAAATATTACCCTCACTTCTACCAAATAAAAAATAATAATATTTTTTTAATTAAAATAAAAATGAAACAAATAAATTTTCAATCTCAATAACTAAAAAAAAGAGAATTTTTTTTTAAAAAATTCATTAACTACAAAAAAATATATATTTTAATAAAAAATAAAATTTTTTGACGACGACAACCCCTATTGTAAAAAAAAAAAAATTAAACGATATTATTTTATTATTTAAATTTCATTTCTGACTAAAAAAAATTTAACCCCTCCCTCCAAAATCCCCAATCTCAAACCCAAAAATCCCTAATCTCTTCTTACCCCGCTCTCTCGAGATCGATCGATCGATCGACGGTGAGCGGCGGAGGAGCAGCGTCGGAGCAGCATCGTCGTCGTCGTCGTCGGAGCAGCGTCGGCCTCCTCTTCCGTTTGTTGTTTTCGTTTGTTGTTTTCTTCAACATCAAGATGTGGTGAATGGAGTTTTGAGCTGCTTTAGGTCAGGTCATAGATTCCCCAATGGGTGATGATACGGCTAACAGATAATTCATGGGTTCTAATGGTCTCACTAGGCTTTAGCTCTTACTGCTCATATATATATGTAGGTGTACAGGCACCAGATCGGAGCTAGGAGCGTCAGGGTAACTCCAGTTTTGTCAAGCCAGCCTTTGTGCCTCACTGCGAGGTTCCGAGTTGCCATGCTATGGCTTGGGGGGGTTTTGTTTGTTTTCCCCCGCCTGTCTTCATACTGTCTAACTGTTCCGTATAGACTGAATGTTTACTGTACTGTTATCAAGGGATTAGGTCCCTGTACTGTGTGATTGTAAATTTTGTATAGACCGTACTGTTTTGTACAGACGGAATGCTTTCTGTACTGTTTATGTATGAATGCATGAAAAATCTTTTTGGCATACAGACTGTCACAGCTCATTGGACATTGTTTATTTACTGTATTGGCTTCCACCAGGCCCTGTACTCTGTTTTACTGTATTACTGTTCAGCAGGCCTTCGGTAATCTCGGATTACTGGCCGGTTACGGTGCTAAACCCATAGGGCCGGGTTTGGGTCGTGACAACAATAGAAATAAAATTATCAAAATAAATAAATTATTTTAACTAAATTTATTATTTATAAGTATTCAAGTAATACTTTTATAGAGCGATGAGGCTAAGATTATTAAAATAAATAATTAAAATCAATTTATTCTTTTGTAATACATATCATAATATAAAATATAATTACATTAATTAAAGTTAACTCCATTGTGATTTTATATCTTACATCATATTTTTAAAAATGATTTATATACACGTATAGCATCTAATTTGATATTGATTGATTAAAATAATAGAACTCAATACTTTTTTTTGTTAAATTTTTATAAGATAAATTAACCAATTTTAAATGATTAAGAACGCGGAGTATTATTAAAAAATAATGATTCATCAAAAATGATTGTGTATTTTTAAGGCACATATTGATATTTCTTGAATAATTTTTAAATAAATATTTTAAATTTATAGTATTATTGATAATGCACTTTCATGAAATCTGTCAGAAAAGATATGCAAAAATAATTTGGTTAGCATAAGATTTTTACAGTTATTATGATGTGTCACATAATTAATCGGAACCCCCTTGAGAACTAAAATTATTAAGATTATAAAGATTTTGTGTCTAATTCCCTTTGATGACACAGTTTATGATTTGAATTTTTAATTTTTTATGCATCAACGTGAATAACTCTTTACGATTTTACTGATATAAGCATAAATCCAACTTTGAGTCAACTCACCTTAAACACTTTTTCATGTACTAAAATACTTAAATATTCTCATATAAAAATATTATAATAGATCATAATCAAATATCACTTGAAGTATAATTAAAAACTCGATCCATCACTTTAGACATAACCAAAAACATAAGAAAT